GGTATTACCGACGAAGACAAGGGAGACTGGAATGGCCAATTCTGGCTTATTAGCCGTCGTCAGCCAGTCATACCCAACCCCGAACACCCGGGGCTCGATCCCGCGACCTGTCAGTTAGACGTCTAACGCCCCTAACTACTTGGCCACGGGCTCGTTGTCCTGCCGGTTGCGATCGGGAATATACAACGGTAGAGGGGCGCTTACCGATCGTTTTTACGGAACTCACTCGTCTCGTCGCTATATCTACCAGCGTCCGGCCTCCCTTCTAAATCTGGACCTTGTCCGAAGGTTATACTAGTTATGGTCAGCCGTGACAGGCAGAGAAAGCCAAATGAACCATAATCTCCAATCTCTCTCATTTTGGCAGAATACACTCGCAAAGTGCTGGTTACTCACTGTTATGTATGAGCGCATGCGACGACTGCAGGCACAGATCTCTGAACATAAGGGAAACAGTTTGAATTGCGTTCTAAGATTGGGATAGACCGTTGAAAGCCCCCTCCTTCGCAAAAAGAACACAACTTTCTTGCCTGGAGAAATCTAGGATATATAAATTAGTTGAGTGAGCAAGTCTGGCGACATCTCAGTCAAGGACTCATAATACATCAGGCTACACTACTAAGTTCCTAAAGACCTCCGCTATCAGGGTCCGGTAGAGCAATTTAAGTTTGTACCCCTCGAAGGTGAACCGATTTCATATCACGCTTTTTTAGCAGGAGTCAGAGTTACCCGACTTAATCGGAAATTTACTTTTCCCGACCGTGATGGAAAAAAAACTGATATTGTTACACTGTAGTAGCAGACAGTTCGTGATTCTGTCAGTGGAGGAAGTTCTAAGGAGACGCACGATTTCGCTCTTGAATCTTCGGGCTGTTTTCAACAGGGATGTAGAATGGGGAACTGTGCACGGCGTTTGATCTCACCTGTAACATGGTCGTTAATTTCAGTCAAAAGCTCATGCAAGCAATAATTTGACGACGAGGCGGAAAGTAACCGTTCCTAACTTATTTATTGTTCTGAAGTAATCATACTTCAACTTGATCGTCTCTATGCGAGGTTGACTTTCCAAAGCGCATTCGGGAGGACGCCAGGGAGAGCTGTTTGCCTCGAGAAGCCTGACTTCCATCCTAATCTCACGTCTTCTCAGTTTTAAATTCGGGCGTAATTAAATGGAAATCGTAAATAAATATAAGATAACCGATTTCGTATATATTCTGCAGAACCTTTATCATTAGTAGTGTTTCTGTCGAAGTGCAATTGGTCGACAACTCGAGGTTTCCAATACCAAAAGGCAGATGACAGATTTATAGGGAAAACTTTATTTAGGCCGCATAGCAGCAGCCGCAGAGCGGCGAACGATATAGGCAGAGAGAGCCCGTAAGTCACAACGGAACGAGTGAGTTCCGTAAGAACGATCGGTGAGCGCCCCCTACCATTGTATATTCCCGATCGAAACCGACAGGGCAACGTGCTCGTGGCCCAGTGGTTAGAGGCGTGGACTTATTACTAACGGGTTGCGAGTTCGAGCCTCAGATTTTACACACTTCGGTGTTAGGTATGACTGGCTGACGACCGCTAATAAGCCAGAAGTGGCCACTTCAGTCTCCCTTGTATTTGCCTATATATGTCAGGCGAAAAATTTCAGAAATTACATAGTTAAGGACATGAAATTAAGTCTCCGGGACATGACTGACATTATATATATATATATACATACGTCGGCTGCAAAATCGCTGGGACAGTCTCGTCCCGTGGTCTCCACCGCGACCGCTTAATCATGCCGTCCTCCGTCTGGCTGGCACTGTGTCAATTGAATGCTTGCGCCGCGCGTGATTTGGTCCCGTATGGCGAATTGACTTCAGTCCCTTCACTGACTTTTTGCAGACGGACGAAGTTCAGGCACACTTACGCAGTTCGCGCTTGGACCAACAGCCGACCCTTGACCTGCTAGGACACTTGCTGCCACTGCCTGCTGAGTCGCTTGTACGCTCACTTTCCGCGGTAAAGGTTGTCCTATTAACCCTGTTTCTCCTGGATTTATATTTGGGAAACCTCTCGTTGTCAGACCATAACACCTCGACATTGCCACTGCATTTTAGAGAAGGTGCCTTTTGCCTCAGATGCAGGCTTGATCTCCAGAACTTTGGAGTATTTGCTGAGCGCTTCGCGTTTAGGACAGTTCACGACAAAAGATTTAAAATTATCATGCTCAATGTTAGCTGATACCGTCGAGTCGGTCACGGAGCTGACTAAGTTAATGATGCTTACGCAAACTCTGACCATACGGTGGGAATAGTCGACACCTGAATTTCCGGCCCCAAGAGTCCATGAGCCCTTGTACAGAATCCAGACAATTATCTAGTTCTGCCCGATTTATGTACATCATATAACAGGAGTTTTGCAATCATTGGTTTCGAAATCTCTCCACAAACGCATGCTCCTGTTCGTATCATCAATTTACAGCCCGATTGACTTGAGTAATCGGGAGTAATTATCACGCTTAGTATTATAGGCGGCTGCCGCGTTTTCGTCTCAGTATAAACAAACTTAAATTCGCTCACAGCAATGCTTTTCCACTTGCCAACGCGGGCTCCTATGGCAGTTAAAACTGTGTGCATTGGGGCGGTTACCGGTGCAATTCAGAAGGGGTGTGATACCCCGAAGTGCAGATTTCACATATACAGCTGTCGGCAATGAGGAAGCGCTCTCCAGAGTAACATTAGCACTTTTAGTTTGCCGCGGTTGAAGGCACGTCACTTCAGTACTTTTAAAACAACATTTAGGACCTGCGGGTTCGCATGGACTCAGCGCAGCTCGACAGACGCGTGCCATGAGTTAATCTTAGTCCCGTATTGGTCCAGCTGATTTGCAGAGCAGGCCGTTGTGGCGTCTGTCTCACAGGAGCAGGCGGAGTTTGGGCGAATCAGCGAACTAGTGACAGGGTCGGGCACAGAGTCGCTTGAGCTGCCACCAGGCGGGTGGTGATGAGTGGAAATTTTGCCAATTTACCCACCAGGTGACTGATGAACTGTCCGCACCGTCTTTGCGGCACTGAAAATTTGACCAACAAGAGTCGGCGTTCGCCGGACTATGTTTCCGGCTGTCCGACTTCTCATAGGGCATGATGATCTCAAATTGTGGAAATCAATAGAGAGCCGGAAGACTCTCTACATCTACAAAACAATCTGGATCGCTCGTAATAATAGTGCGATGAGTAGTGTCTTAACCTCAACCTTAACAAATGCCAACTAATCAGACTACGATCTAGCAACAGGAGGCAGTTGAGATTTTAATCTCACTACTTTATAGGAGGTCACCAACTCGAAGCGGTCAACGAGTGAAGAGACCTCAATGTGTGGATGACGTCAACTCTCAAACCCTCGTCTCACTGCACAAAAATATCAAAGAAAGCTATGGGTATCCTAGGCGCGGTTAGAAGATCCTTCCTCAATTTTTACGAAGAACTTTTCGACCGAGTATTTGGAACATTTGTTCGACCAATGTTGGAATATTGTATTCCGGCATGGTGTCCCTGGACGAAACAAGGTTACACCCTTCTGGATAACATACGACGAAGAGCAACCAAGCTGGTCGGCGGACTAAGTTGCTTACCTCATGAGAGATGCCTGCAAGAGCTAAAAATATTTCCTCTCTCTTATAGACAATACAGAGGGGATATGATCCTGGCCTTCAGGATCATCATAGGGCTAGACCGTGCTTTTCAGTTTGACGATTTCTTCGAACTGGCACGGACGACAAATCTTCGAGGCCACCAATACAAATTGAAAATAAAATATGCCAAACTTGAAGTGCGGGCCAAATTCTTCTCCCACCGGCTGGTTGACGGATAGAACAAATTGCCGGACTCTGATATCTTTGCAGAAAACTTTGAGACCTTCAAAAGAAGACTAGATAAATTTATGCTTGATGGTCAAACATTTACTCGATATCACTGACTGACATAACTGTTATGTAAATATCTGCATGTTTTTTATACGTCTGTCTGTAGATAGGGTTTTCCTAGGCTCTGCCTATACCCCTCATATATACTGAATTATAAACTTCAACTCTCATGGGGAACATTCCACGCAGGAAAGGAGTGTCAGCAACGGTAGCCAGTCTTCCCGCGACTCTCGAACCAGGAATCGCTCATTCCCCTGACTCGGTACTCACGTACCGGGAGCCCTGCTCAAAAGACTTCAACTCTGATTGGGAGCAATCCCTCCTGATCTGACGGTTACCAGCCATTTTTTGAGGCTGCAGCTACATTAAAGAAACCTGTCGCCAATTACAGACAGGAATGCGCAAGCACCAACTGGCGGTGTAGAGAGTGGAGGCCAAGTCGCAGGTGATACTCTGGGCTGCCGTGATGTAGACCTCAGCACCGCTTAGATCACTGTCGAGACGCTGTCTGCCAACTGCTCAATAAAGTTTCATATTGATCCGCAAGCTGCTTGGGTAGCCTTGCGAAATTGCGCTGGAAAAGTTTTAATGGACGGGCAGGGTGTATGCACAACGGTCACAACAAATCCGCAGGCGAACAGCCTGAACAGCTCGACTCAGCTGGCAACCCTACAGTGAATCCACCATTCTGACATTACAGAACCAAAGTTGGTCTTTAAAACTTCGAGTGGTTAATAAATCCATATTAGTTATCGTTGCCACCTCTTCTGACAGATTGCTAGTGGTGGAATTTTCACCACCATCAAATTAACGCGAGTTACCCGTACTTCGATGGTCAATCAGTGACCACTTCATCCTTTTTTCGCAAAGAGAATCATCTTGATGCCCAACCTGAAAAATGCCCTGTAACCGTAATTCCATCGGGAGGGTCGCCGATGAAGTGCTAAGGTCACACTATAACAAAGGGCCCAGGGAGTACGGCACATATGTTATTTGATCTAGCAGGAAGGCATCTTAACTTCATATCAGAATCCTGCAAGCACGGAGATGTGAGTGTAGGCCTGATGACTGACTCTTCGCCACTTTAGTATCAAGCCTCATGAAAGAGGATACCATCGCATATTAGCACTGTTATCATCATCATCATCATCATCATCATCATCATCATCATCATCATCATCATCATCGTCGTCGTCGTCGTCGTCGTCGTCATCATAGTCATCATCATCATTGTTGTTATTGTTGCTGTCATCGTCTTTTGAGGCTCGCGGCCTGTGTCGAATAAGATAGCCAAAAACAACCGGAAGTTATGAGATTGATGTAGAAGAATTAAGAGTTGCACAGTTTCCCATGAAAAGATTCAGAAGACTGTTTGAGAAGAATCGGTTTGCTACCAACAAATACCCATCAGGCCAGTCTGCCTGCATGGTAGTGGGGTCAATTAACATAAGCGAGCATTAATAAGTGCAATGATCTTCCCCTTCCATACTCTCGGTGCTGAGACTTCGCCTAGGCGGAGTAATCAGCCACGCGGGGAGCGCAAAGGTGAACACTTTTCCCAACACCAGGATCAGCGCGTCAGCTGGTCGAGTAACTATCACACCAACATCCAACGCACGTGATGAGATTGCAGCAATTAACGACGCGGATGTCAGCCATCACACCACATGCAACGATTCCTGACGAAGGGGGGAGCCTTAAATGTTCATAAGTATGCGTGGCTACTGCATCCTATAAATACTGCAGCCCCTTATGCATGGACTACCCGTATCTGCTTTTGTCTCTGATGATGGGCTGGAACAGGAATCGGAGACGTCAGGCTAATAAAGCTCATGTCCCAGCGATCGCACCTCATTCCTCACTTCGGAAGACTGTTTGAGAAGCATCGGCTTGCTATCAGTAAACTCCCATCAGGCCAATACACCCGAATGGTAGCAAGTGGGCAATGAGGGCAATCGAGTAGTGTCCATTTTTTCATAAAAAATGGATGTGGCAGATGGGAGGTTAATCAGTGGCATCCATTGTCAGCTGGTCAGGCAATGATAGTTAGTGTGGATAGCGTGAGGGTTAGGAAGTGTCGTATCAGTGGTGGGGGAGATGGGTGCGGATAATTGCTTGTAGTTGGTGGGTTAACTGGCTTTTTGGCCATGGTTAATACAGGGCCTGCATGAAGTCCGTCTGAGCGCACATTAAGACTAACATTCCCTGCGTTGTTTACCAGGCGGGCAACACAATACTGAATAAAAACCCGGACGCGTGTTTCGTTAGTATTCGTCGCTGTGTAGCACACCCGCGATCGATTCATCCCATCAATGGACCCCCCCCCCCAGCGTTCCCCGTGTGCACTATGGTAGATGCCCCTAGTTTTCAAATTCCAACTCTCTAAACCCCTCAGAACTTTATGCTCTAACTTGGAGTAAATCATTCGGAATGAAGCTTTATAGGCCCAGTCCCAAGACTGATAGTGAATATTTGAGCCAAAATCGATCCGTTGCCTACTTTCAGTATATGAATATTATACCGTTGTCCCGTTGATGCTGATATATATCGGCCCAAATGTTCACTTCGAGTTTCGAACAGAACCTATAAGGTTTCATCCCCAGTGATTCACTCCATGTTAGCGCATTAATTTCTTCGGGGATTAAAAAGATTAACATCACTCATGTTCCCTTATTACCCACATGTTTTAATCGACTGTGCCATCAAAAAAAATTTATCAGCCTAAATGAAGCTTTATCGAAAGCAAATGCCTCCTCGCTAAATAGTCAGCTAAAGCCTTCGATGGGAATTTTTGCGCCTTTAAAAGTAATTTGCTCTAGTAGATCTGGGAAAAAATGTGTCGCCAAGCTAACTATATTGTTTAAACTGACGTGAAGAAGACTGCGGCCAGCCGGGCGCATGTGAAGCTACAGTAGGTAGGCTATCTCATGAAATGTCAACCGAAATTCCGAAATGCATTTTCGTTTCGAAAAGATTAATTAAGTAGGGTTGTAAAACTAGTCAACCTGCAACATAATTCTATAATACTCCAGTTACCCCAGGTTGTCGGCTTTCGAACGAACTTCCTTCCGGCTGCATGAAAAAAACTATACTTCGTAAAAACGACTACTTAAGTAGCATGCATTTTTCTCATTGATTTTCGATGCCCCTAAAAGTCCAATTATATTTCATGGAAAACATGCATGAAAATATTCATTCTTTTGCTCATTCGGTAGAAAATTACGTCTTCTTCTAATTTTATACTCGAAGGATGGATATAATTCGGTTTTCAAAAACTTTTCCAATTCCCGAATAATTTTGAACCCGCTCTACCGCTACACTTGGTTTCAAGGTTTCCAAACTACAAGCCGTATATTTTCCGCGTGCGGAAAACCACACATTCCTCTATGGTGGTAAAGGGGGAGCATTTAGGGTTCATAAAATTTAGCAGTGGATTTGATCTAAATTATTGACTTTACAAGCCACATTGGTAAATGCAGAGATATGATGATTTATGAACGGCCATTTCACGGTATTTAAAAGTCTCACGATTAGAAACTTTTTTAATAGCGAATTATGTGCCTCCTTCGAATATAAAATTAGAAGAAGACGTAATTCTCTACCGAATGAGCAAAAGAATGAATATTTTCATGCATGTTTTTCATGAAATATAATTGGACTTTTAGGGGCATCGAAAATCAATGAGAAAAATGCATGCTACTTAAGTAGTCGTTTTTACGAAGTATAGTTTTTTTCATGCAGCCGGAAGGAAGTTCGTTCGAAAGCCGACAACCTGGGGTAACTGGAGTATTATAGAATTATGTTGCAGGTTGACTAGTTTTACAACCCTTCTTAATTACTCTTTTCGAAACGAAAATGCATTTCGGAATTTCGGTTGGCATTTCATGAGTTAGCCTACCTACTGTACTGTAAAGGGCAGCGCTTGACTCGAGTGGAATTATTTCGTTTTGAATTTCTGTGAGCTGACTGAACCTATTAGATGCCCAAACACGTGGTCCGACAACCTTCCAACCGTTCGTCCATAGTTATGTTCTTGATTGAAACTAATTGCACCAGTATCCCTCAATTACCCCCACCCCAGACGAAAGTCCTTTACAAAATTCAGAATGGGAACAGAAGCAATCGACGTGTTACACTACTACAGTAGGGAAAATGTATAATTCAGACAGGAAGGTCTGTCCTCTCCTAGTTGCCTGCTCCATTGGTCGGACATGATAATACGTCAAAGGTAGTATCACCAGCAAAAACTGTGAGCTGTGCGCGCGGACAATCGTGCGCCGGCTACAGAATGAGGGCACGTGACGCGCACTTTTAGGGTCAGACACCTGTTCTCAGCCTGTAGAAAGTGGCAGGTTGAACCCCAGGGAACAGCTTAAAAAGGAAACCCGATCGCCGAAAGGGTTTGTGGTTGACCGACTCACCATTAGAGACGGCAACGGTTAAGGACAGCGGCGCACAAGAGGTGTAGTATTTAGAGGATGTAGACGAAATGCGACCTTTTATCTGTGAAATTTGGCGGTTCCTGCGTCCATCACAGGCGGCCGTACCTGTTGCAATGATTGCTTGTCCATTCTCACCCGAGTCGGTAACTGTCGCAGTAGTGCTAGTTGACAGTTCGAGCGTCGATTCCGACGATGTCCACTGTGTACCACACAGCAAGGTGCAGCAGGCGCGGTGACTTGCGCGTGATTTAGTTTATAGTGATGGTGGACTTGCGCAGCATCTGCCGCATCCTCCAGGCAGGCTTCACATAAAGGCAACACTGCCAGGACTTAACTTGAAGGTCGACTCAGACTATTTTTAGAAAAGGCTATCAGGCTGTGAAAACCAGTCCCAAAAGCACAAACCAGTTTCATTCAGGCGCTGCAGTTGGCATACGCCAGAACCGGACACTGGTATGCTGCACGGAGCGAGTTAAGTGCCCTAGATAACCGGCCATGTGAAGTAGACGTACCACTCTCCACACTTGGCCTACACGCCAGGGATAGTCGAAATTCAATACCTGAATGTTTATGGAGCAATTACTGATTCAGCCATAGCTTCACCATATACTGGAGAAGTTACTGAAAACTCGCGCCCGTTTACCAAATTTTCGCCTTAATTGGCCGAACATAACTTTCACAAAACAAAACCACTGTCAGAACGTCGTGCAAAATTTATGTCATAAGGATGACGACCGCATTACAGCTTGCTCAATCGGCCAATTATTGCGGGAGACCGAACGTCCCAAGGTCGAAGTATGACATTTAAGAAGGATAGACGACGAAGTGATGACGCATAAGAACCCTAGACGATAATAAGAAGAGCTTTCTGGAATCGATGAGCCAGTTTTAGAATTAAAAGACTAAGTATCAAACCACACTCTCCCCCCCCCCCCCACCTGGGTCCAGTGTCAAGACAGAGCCGAGAGGAGCGGAGCGCGGGAGGGCGCAGGTGGTTGGCACGGCCGGACCCGCACCTAGGCGTGCCACCATACCCCCTGGTCTGCAGTAAACACCTGACCAGGACTTGACCAACAACAGAAAAGACGTGGATGACTGGGCATGCATGCACATGACCTGTATACCCATCGGGAGCGCGAGCGCATCTACCGCCAGAATTGCCAGCGCACACCAGACTGTGAGGGCCATGGTTTACTGATCATGGAATAGTACACACTTTGAGACCTCTTGACCTAGAAGGGCGACACGTGACCCTGCATTTAGCCTGGACTGTCACCCTCCAAGGGCTCCACTTAGTAGCACCATTGGTTGCATACTCAATTGAGGTAAGTGGGTTGGTTGTACTGACTCGCTTGGCTCATGCCTCACAGTCAACTAGCAGTGTCCCAACCGCAGGTAAGGAATACCGGGGGTCTTGAAACGCTCCCCTTGTTCATAAAAGTATGAATTCACGGCCTGTCGGCTGCGATCAGTATTCTCCAATCACACTTGTCCTGACTGTACGACAGGAATGGGTGCTCCGTTTTGTTATGGAACTTCGGTCTAGTCAGTCGGCAACAGTTCGCACTGATGAAACAGACAGCCTCCATCAAAGGAGACTTATCGGCAGAATGGCATTACCGACAAAGACAAGGGAGACTGGAATTATCACTTCTGGCTTATTAGCCGTCGTCAGCCAGTCATACCCAACCTCGAAGTGTGGAACAACCGGGGCTCGAACTCGCGACCTGTCTGGTAGAAGACTACGCCTCTAACCACTGGGCCACGAGCCCGTTGCCCTGTCGGTTTTCGATTGGGAATATACAATGGTAGGGGGCGCTCACTGATCGTTCATACGGAACTCACCCATTCCGTTGTGTCTTACGGGCTCTCTCTCTCTCGAGCCCAACCAGCACCCGCACAGCGGCGCATGATATAAAGGCCGAGTGGTTAGAGGCGTGGACTTCTAACTAACAGGTCGCGAGTTCGAGCCTCGGGTGTTCCACACTTCGAGGTCGGGTATGACTGGCTGACGACGGCTAATAAGCCAGAGATGGCCATTCCAGTCTCCCTTGTCTTTGTCGGTAATTTCATTCTGCCTAAATATCATGCGCCGCTGTTCAGCTGCTGGTTGGGCTCGAGAGAGAGAGGGAGAGCCCGTAAGGCACAACAGAACGAGTGAGCTCCGAAAGAACGATCGAGGGGCCTTATCGTTGAACCTGACGTGAGAAACAGGGAGGCTTCATTCAATTCCAGAAAATATTTTAGGCAGTAGTTTTGTTGGTTTTCTAGGCTGCAGGCACCTAACCTCATTTAGTGACTATTACAAGCTCTGAAATTAGCACGCTTAACCTAACAGACCTATGGGAGTTACAGCCATCAGGTTCGATAAATAAAAATTGCCAAATGTGTGGATACTTGAAGAGATTCGCAGAACAGGCGCGTGGAGCCCTCGATCTCATCGAAACATTCAAAATTATTGTTTCAAAAGGTGAAATATGGATTAACCTTGTCCTCCTTTTTCCGCGTTCTGCGCTTGAGCGCTTCAGTCTTAGCCTGCATCGGACGGACTGTTTCATCCAGTAGTTTCCTATCCTCTTTCACAAGTCGCGCGAGTTAGCTCGTCTTCATCCACTCGGCCATCTGATTCACATCGGCGTCATCTCTCTCTCTCTCTCGGCGTTTTAACCAGCCATGCATTCTGCTCCTGGAGGTCCTCGAAAGCCCGCCCGGTGGCTTCCGGTGGTTGTTACTAACATGATGACAGCACGACGAGTTACCTCACCGATGCTGTAACTCGAAACAGTGTCCGTACTCGCCGTAGGACTAATGATCCTGGCCAGCCGAATTCTGGCACGAGATAGCGCGCGGGAGGTCATGGCGTTTGCTGGTTGATTGCGGATCGGAGGGCCATGACTCCGTTAGCTTGCGGCACGTGTGGCTGTCACCTGCTGCGAGAATTTGAACCCCATTGACCTTGAGGGCGGCGTCAGGTCTAGTCGAATGACTCGTGACTCGAGAGTTGGCAGCATTTCTCCTCCGTGCTGCTCCGCGACCAGAATCATCTTCTGGTCGGTCCAACGTACTTGGTTTTCCCGCAACTGCCGCAGATGCGACAAACGACCTCAACCACTTCCCTGCCATGGCAACAGACCACTCAGATTTGTCGCGGCAGCTAAAGCTACAGACAGACGCTAGCCGAATAGAAAGAGAAGTTGGGCGCCAACAGCGAGAGAGAGAGTATTGTATTCTGTACAGAACAAATGGGGACACTAGCAAGCTTCTCCAGAGACCTACGCCAACGGGTGCTAGCTACAGCCGAGGCAGTGGCCATAAGGCTAGCCAGTCCAGTGCTACGCTTTCAGAAGACTCTGACACAGGCGCTCTGTCTTCCGTGGCCGACGCCGACCCCAACGTCGCCTTAACCTCTCGATGCCAGGGTGTGTGCACAAGGTACCCGACGTACTCACAGCCTATGGCCCCCTCTCCCTCGCCGCCTTAACCCAATGAGCACGTCACGCCGACCACACCATAGCACGCCTCGTCATGCGAATGGCGTGGGAACGATGGATGTTAATTGTACCCGAATCATGTAATTCGCATAACTTAAACTTCTTTGTAACCGTTTTGGCCTGATTAAGAGTTACTGAAGACACGTGTTCGCCAATTTGACTTTTCAAATGGGGAAAAGTTTGTAACAAGATGACAGCCGGATGAGGGCACAAGTCCGGTGGCGCGAGTGTCCCCGGCGCATGCGTTAGTGTAGCAGCCGATGACGCTGAGGATGGCACGCACCGAGTCAGCGAAGCACTGGGAATAAATTCTGGTTAAGACTAATCTCAATAGAGTTATTAACGCGTCCTTGCACTCATCCATGCGAAAGGGTAGAAATGGAATTAGGTGGATATAAAGGTATAATAGAAACAAACGGAAGCTGGGAATATGTGATAATGGTTAATTGTATATTTAGGATGAGCTGAAACAGATTGATGGCCTGTCTGGATGGAGGGGTTACGCTGACACACCTGCTAAAACAACCGGTGGAGAACGCAGCGCTTTGGGTAACTGCAGGGGAGGGGCGTGGGGGGGGAGGTGCCAACGCAGAGAGAGAGTGAGTGGGTGAGGAGAGTGTAGTGACGAGTTGTGGGGAGTCGGCGGTAGAGAGGGAAGGGCATCGGCCACTTTCACCGACACGCAGTTGCACCACCGCCACTCCAGACCCGCGCCGGAAGTGACTCTTCATTTAAACAACCCTATGCATTTCGTGGAGCGTCACACCAGGCTGCCTTGAGTTAGGGCATGTCTGCCTCGACCTTGGAGTTGATTGACCGGCCTGAATAACCGTGATTGGTCGAGAACCAGGCCGCCACGAGAGACACGGCGTTGCAGCAGAGGCGCACGGAGTAGGACCACTACAGATTCATTTTTTAGGTTTGGCAACTGCCTCTGGCGTTTCTACAACCATGTGGTGGAGGGCGGCTGAGTGCGTCTGAGGCGCTCTTGGCGCACTAGAGTGCTCGCCAAAATTCAGGAGAGGTGTGGTTTTATTTCTTAACTCGTTTGCGTATGCGCCGACTGACGAAGCTGCACATGCACACACTTGTCTTGGGCAAAATGATTTTAACCCAGAAACCTTGTTTCTTGATTCATTTTATTGCGTCTTAACACGTCTATATAGCGTCCTTGAATAATTGCATTTGTGGCAGATTAGGTGAGTGTCATTGAGGCCCAATAATCGAGCCGTACTCGTCGATTTTCTGAACACTAGCTATAATAGTACTAACTGATTTGTTGAGAACCCATGCGGTTACTGTCAATGTTTTACTCCATCATAATATTTAAGGTAGACGAGGGAATCGCGGAAGGTCAGCTGGTGGTTTTAGTATTTCCTCCCCGCGATGATAGTCTGGAGATGTCTTTTGCATGTCAGCAGCTGATCTCGTTCAACGATGGCGACGAAGGCATCGTTAAGAAATCGCGCCCACAACTTTGTCCGTAGTTTTGGAAGCAGTGACTCCAACCGCTGCAAGACCGCCTCAGTTAAATATTCCTAATGGCGTGCCTTTGGTCTGTTCATAAATTGTTCTGTTTAACATGAGGGAGGTTTTAGGACAGAGTTCCAACAGTTAAAGGATTTGGGCATGTACGAGGCGATTTTCTGTCTCGTCTTATTTGGTTTGCAGGAACAATTCCATGACCCCGACTGCCAGACCCTGTCCACATCTGAAGTCGTTTACTGCGTCTGGGAGTAGTTGTGACGGCTCGGTGTACGCTAAGCAACACACTCGTCAGGTCAGGCCCGAACTAGCGAGTTGTTGTGTGCAGAACCTGTCCCAACCAGCAGTGGTGGCTGGCGGGGGTCGGGTTTGCGTTGAGGGCGTTAAGTCATGCTTGGGAGAGAGAGTGAGACTGCAGTGCCAGCCGCTTTCTACAGTGAGTGACCGATCTCATGAAATGTTAGCCGAACTTCTGAAATGCGTTTTCGATTAGGAATACTTTGGTGGGGTTCTAATGCTGATTATCTTGCGACATAATCCTATAACATTTCGGATTTGACAGAATGTCGACTTTCGAATGCATTTCTTTTCAATCTCCTGTAAAAATCGTACTCGGTAAAAAATGACTACTTAAGTAGCATGAATTTTTCCCATTGATTTTTGATAGCCTCATAAATTGAAATATATTTTATAGAAAACATAAACAAAACTATGCTGTCTTCCAGTCGTTTGACTGAGAATCACGTCATCTTTATATTGTATTGAATAAGTATAATTAAGTTTTAGAAAAGTGTCTAATTATGGGACTTTTTAAGACCGTGCAATGTCCATTCATAGAGCATCGTACGTGTCCGTTTACCACTGCTGCTCAAGAAATATACGATATAGTCCGCATCCATTGAGAAATTTTGTGGCCTCTATATGGTATCTTTTTAAAGGCAAAGTAGAATACACGATTTTCCTTACGCGGAACGCATACACCTTGTAGACTGGAATCTTTAAGCGCTAATGCAGCGACTCATCAGGCTCTAAAATATTTGGGAATTGGAAAACTTTTTTAAAACCTTATTATACTCCTTCTTCGAGTATAAAATATAAAAATGACATGATTCTTTGTCATACTACTGAAAAAAGCATGTTTTTGTTCGTGGTTTCTATAAAATGTATTTGAATCTGCAAGGCCATCGAAAATCGATGGGAAAATGCATGTTACTTAAGTAGCCATTTTTTACCCAGTACAGCTTCCACAGGAGATTAAAAAGCAGTGCATTCAAAAGCCGACATCCTGCGAGTCCGAAATATTATAGGATTATGCCGCGAGATAATCAGTATCAGAATCCCACCTAAATAATCCTTCCTAATTGGAAACGCATTTCAGAATTTCGGCTAACATTTAATGAGATCGGCCACTCACGGTATATATACGTCGGAACTGAGTCGTGGTTCCTCGGCACGAGGTCCAATAGACGCAACGATCTCCCCTCACTACTCAGTACCAAGACTTTGGTTGAGAAGATCGATTAGTCATGCCGCGAGTGCCAACACCGCTTTCAGCGACAGTATCGGTGAGTTAAATTGTCGAGCCACTGTCACGTAAATAAGCAGAACTAGTTAGAAATTCGCGACAGCTATCGACATGGGTGGAGACGAACAACCAATCACCGCGCCAAATACGAGCGTCTGTAATGGTGTTGTCGCTAGTTTGATGGGTATATCATGTCACGCGCATTTAGCTCTGTCAGTCACTGCTACCAGTACCGCATCAGACAACTGACCGAGACGTGAAGCAGGCCCTTGTCATATTTTTGTTTGTACACAGCCTCTTATAGTGACTCCATTTGTTAAGAAGTTCCTAAAATCACGAATGGAAGAAAATGTGTGCATCCCAGGTTCTTGTATAAAACAAGACGAAGGCACGATCACTGGAATGGTATATTTATTGGTCCAAAACTCACATTTATTCACTTTCAAGTTGTAACGGTTACGCGGAGACTCCAAATGGTGCGAGTTTCCGTTTCACAAAGTGACCTTTCACTCACTGCTTTTGTTCTTTACTGGGCGGCGTTGACGGTTAAGTCCGTTCTGGCGCGGTCGTTTTGCTTGGCTTTTCTCGATCTCGTCTTAGCATGGGATCTCGTTATCGATAGACTGGACTCGCTAAAGTGGTGACCCCTGAACGAGAACGCGAGTGGCCTTTTCACGAGTTTTCAATCGCCGACAATAGCCAACGAACTATTGTGCAGTGTCGTATGGGTTCTTTCCTCTTGTGCGCTTTCACTCAAATCTTGCCACAGTTATGACGGACGCTCCTGCTAGAGGAGGCGTTTATATTAACGCCCCTGCAGGGCTAGTGGCGCGTAGGTAACGGTCCATTGCACCAAGTCGGTAGAATTAACCGCATGCGCTTCTGTTGTCCTATTGCTGATGCCAGTGAAAATGAAGGCTTTGTTTGCCATGGGATTAAAATTCAGCGGGAGGAGGTGACCGTTTCATCGGAGAGGGAAGAAGAGGCCGCCTGTGTGTGCGGAGTGCATTAACTGTCCGACCAGTTGAGGGGCTGGGTCAGCTGTCCGGCGTCGGAGACTAAGCTGTACATCAAACCGTCCTAATCCTTAAATGGCTTCCCGAGTTGACTGACCTCGTTTCTGATTTTAGGTGCATGGCGCTTCCTTACCTCCTAGTTGGTGCGACAGTCGTAGCGGTGGTTAAGCTGTGTGGCCGGTGGAGGTATTTAAACTTTTTTGACCTGGTAACCGGTTTCGACTGCGCAGCTGGTTCTTATCTGATAGAGAAGTACCATCAACACGTACATGGGTGGAGGAGGGAATTGGAGTGGCCACTCCTGACCTGTTTGACATCATCATCCCCGACCCCAGTTTCGCGGGCGGGTTCAATTATCCATTGCCGTTGAGGCACGCATCCCGCCCTGTTGGTTGCCCTTTGAACTATTCAAAGTTAAACCTGCATGACGTCCGTTCGTCTATCCTCATCGCAAAGCATCCGTTTTGCCTTGGAGCCGCGGCTACAGCCCGCGAAGGCGGTTGTATAGAAGCGAGCAGGGAATAGTC